ACCATTCTAAAGGAGTAGAAAAGCACAACTCGAGCGACGTTTATGCAATAACTTCCATATATTCATTATATTGCATACAATGTAAGAAGAGCGAACATGGGTAGAAAAATCACAACACATCAAATAATATATTGAGCACATCACTTCATTGTGATATGAGTTGATCATTGAATTTAGCTTTAAGCATATCCCTATTAGTAATTCACAGTTTTCCAGATGATAAATCACATACGGTGTTCATTTTTTAACTTAAATCAAAAAAAGAGAGAGAAATCTACCAAGGAGAATAGTCCATCAGATATCTCTATGTTGCTTTAAAATTGTAATTAACCACAATCTTTATTTGTTCATCATGTTATTTCAGGCATTACATCAAACAGTTTACAAACAAAGACGAAAAGACTGTCAACATTTATTGTTTCAACATGTTATTTTAGACATTACATCAAACAACTTATGAACAAAGCACGAGAAGACTATCAAATGTCCAAAAACCTCGTTATTTAGTTATTAAAGAAAATGTTCAGAAAGATTATATCTTTGCAGAAAAAAGAGAGTGGAGATATCTGTCACCACTATGAGAGGAATTGGAGGTACAAATTGGGGAAGTAGCAACAAATCCAAAATAATTTCATATTGTATACATTACAATTAAAATATTTCCTAATTTGTTTTTCATAGGGAAAAAATACCTTTTTTTCTTTTGAATTTACCATTTCTTTTGCACTCAGAAGTAATGATCGCAATTTCAGCAGCTTTGAATTTCAGTTACATATGAATATTGGGTTAAATCTTCTAATAGCCACCAAACTTTCTTCTTAGTGTTACCATTACTCAATTTGATTTTATTTCACAATGGCCATCCAATTTCATATAATATTTCACTAGGTCATCCAACTTCTTTTTACCATTTTTCCTAATTTAAAAGGGGTAAAACAAAATCATATTTGGTGGCCATCGTGACACTAAGTCCCCGTTTGTTCTACATTTTCTTTCAATTAGTAGAAATTTTGTGACCATTTTTTTCAAATCGCCGGGTCCCATTATCACACATTTTGGTCAAAATGTCGGCTAGAAATCGGTGCAACGGTCACAATTCTTATACAAATGGGGAAAAATGTAGAACAAACACCGCCTAAGTATAAAATTGTGCGAACATTGATGGATTTAACCCTATAAATATTTTTAAAAACGTGAACAGAAAATCTGGAAAAAATACATCCACTGTGTAGTATATAATGGATTTAACTATGAAAGTAGCAGAAATGATCTAATGAGCACCGGTGCTCATTTTATCCTAAGCACTGATGAGTTGGCACATTAATTCATTGGTGGATAAAGATTTTGTGAGTTCAATTCACCAATGAATTAATATGCCAACTCATTGGTGCTTAGGATAAGATGAGCACCGGTGCTCATTAGATCATTTCTGTATATATATATATAAGTAATTGTATAATTTTTATTGACTTGCTGTGTAGATCAACTGTGAGGGAAGATGCCTTTTTGTGTGGGAGACTTGGGTTCGATTCCCTTCAACAACATTCTCCCTTTTA